CGTTGCCGAATTTCCGATGATAAAACACTGAAAAAAAAAATCTCGGTGTAATTACTAAGAAAAGGGTAAAATTACCAAGAATTCAGGGTTCTATTTGATCCCAGTTTTTTCTTGGTAAAATTACCTATCATTTATGGAATTGGTAATTTTACCGAGAAATCTCGGTAAAATTTTGAGCTTTCACGGTAATTTTACTGGACCTCAGTAAAAACGCCAATATTTTTGATCGACTGTGGTAAAATTAACGAGATAAAATGGCAAAGTTACCGGGAATTGATTACCAATAAAAGTGCTATTCTTACCTAAAAAAACAGTAAAAATACTTGTTTTTAAGTAAGCTTACCAGTCTGTCTTGGTAAAATTATCAATAATTGGTAAAAAAAGTGAGATTGTAAAGGTACCAACGGACCTTGGTAAAAACGCCGAGAATTTTTTGTCAGTGAATAAGAATTTTCAAGGAAATCAGTGAATGTATTCTTCCAATTTTTCAGAGGATGTTATCAGCAATTTTATCTAAAATACCTGAATATTTCAAGGAGAGGTACTCAAAAATTTCGAATTATTAATATTTTGCAACGAGAAATCTGGCAACTTTTGAATGTTTACGCGGCGTTTTTCCTTTGAACACCACAGAGTTGTGAATTTGAGCGCCAAATGGAAGGGTAGAGCTGCTTTAAAATGTCAGTGTCTCGTCGGAGGCGTCATCAGGCTCGTCGCGAGGGGCACGAAAAGTACGTATGGGGTGCCAGCCAAGAGGACTCTAGAATTTCTTGAATTTATCATTTAATTTTTCGGAGATTCCGAAAACTAAGAAAAAATATACCCAAGACATATCTGAGAATTTTCTCTTGATCATAAGATACACTGTAAAAAATTTTGGAGTGAAATTTTGCGTCGGAGTCTATACAGCGCCCAAAAACCTCGAGTGATATGAATGCGGAGCGAAATCTATTTTTCTTACGGACTGATTCACACACTGAAAAAAAAGTCTCGGCGTTTTTACCAAGGTCCGTTGGTACCTTTACCATCTCACTTTTTTTACTAATTATTGGTAATTTTACCAAGACAGACTGGTAAGCTTACCTAAAAACCGGTATTTTTACTGTTTTTCAGGTAAGAATACCATTTTTATTGGTAATCAATTCCCGGTAACTTTGCCATTTTATCTCAGTAATTCTACCACAGTCGATGAAAAATATTGGCGTTTTTACCGGGGTCCAGTAAAATAACCGAGAAAGTCAATAATTTTAACGAGATTTCTCGGTAAAATTACCAATGGGCCTGTTGCAAACTTTTGCTAGAGCAAAACTAAGAGTTGTTTCTTATAGATAATGCCTCAAAAATCACGATGAGCGCATCGGCAAACTCTGAAATGCACTCATAACTTCACAATCTGCGTAAGAAATTTGCGGTTTTTTGAGCTTCCCGCTTCAAAAACGATACTACGGCACAGGTGAACATTTTGTAAGAGGAGTCGTTCCATCGTCGGCAATAATCATCATAGCCGACGCCAATCCGCCAAAACACGTTTGATGGGACGAGATAACACCTGAACTGGATTAGACCAGATAACAATCGGTGTGTTAACGTTCACATTTTCCACGCTCGAATTGACTGACCTTGAACTCTCCTTGAATTACGCGCGGAACTGCGTGCAAGCGTCGGCCATGATGAATATCGCCGACGATGGAGCGACTCCTCTAACAAAATGTTCACCTATACCGTAGTATCGTTTTTGAAGCGGGAAGCTTAAAAAAACGCAAATTTCTTACGCAGATTGTGAAGTTATGAGTGCATTTCAGACTTTGCCGATGCGCTCATCGTGATTTTTGAGGCATTATCTACAAGAAACAACTCTTATTTTTGCTCTAGCAAAAGTTTGCAACAGGCCCCATAAATGGTAATTTTACCAAGAGTAAACTGGGATCAAATAGAACTCTGAATTCTTGGTAATTTTACCTTTTCTTAGTAAATACACCGAGATTTTTTTTTCAGTGTATTAGTCAGGGTTTTTGGCCGCAATAGAGACTCCAGCACCCCTTTGATTTTTAATAATGTAGACCCACAAAATTTCAAGGCAGAATGTTGCTCAGTTTTTCGTCGAAAAATTAAAAATGAGAGAAAATTAGGCAACGTGTAACGTAGTTAGGCTGTCTGGTAACAGCCGTCTGATTTCAAACACTTAGAGGTTCCTTACCGGAGGCGATGGAGTTTGCAGTCATGGCACCGTCTCGACTCTCGAACATTTCAAATAATCATAATTAAATTTATGAAAATGGTTATTTCAAAGGAGAAGGGGGAGGTTTTGAAGAGGTGAGATATTGCCGTTGCGAGTGAATTCGCAAAGGATTTTCAACCTCAAGGTGCAAAAAGGGACGAATTCTACGGTATCATCGACAACTATGTTATCAACTCACAATCAGGCGCAGCGCCATGCTCATCAAAGCAATATAAAAGAAGGGTGCTACCCTTTTATTTGGGGAACTGTCATCTCAACACTCAACTGGCCTCTAACGATGATTGATGAGCAACAAGTCAAGCAGACCACTCAACAAATTGTCAGAGTTTGTCAAACCAACTGCTTGACTCGTTGGTCATCAATCATCGTTAGGAGGCAGTTGTTGGATGTGGAGGTATCTCTTCCCAAAAGTATGGCTCTGACACAACATACATTGCATTGAGCATTAGGATTCATCGTCTGTTTGTTGCCGTGCTACGGAAAAAAGCAGTAAGTGGGTGATATCACGATCGTAATAATAGTTGTATCAACCTTAGTTTTATGAGAAACTCAGGGAAAAATAATTAGATCCGAAGGGATAAATCGAAAAGAATGACTACCTCAAATTCTTGCAGGCAAAAAAGTAAAAACTTATCATTATCTTTAAAAATTAGGGATGCTGCGAGTGCCGCCTTCTCCCTGACTGTGAAATGGTAAAACCCTCGGAAGCCCCTCGCGTCAGTGTTTTTTCGCGAAGTTGCATTCATAGTGATTGTTTCCTCCAAATTTTATGGTGAATACATATTCAGAAACATATAACTTTATCAGGGGCGGGTTTTGAATACACAACAGCAAATCACAATTTTCACTATGAAATTGGAGAGTGAATAACTGATAATATGTTATTAGTTGAACTTCATTTTGCAACAAGAAACTTCGATTTCTAGCTCGTTTGTGAAAAACTCATGCGCATAGAGAAATCAATGGTGCTTACGTTGTTCCTAAACTTAGCCAGAAATTGTAGTTTTTAATTTTGTTTAAGAAATAAGTAAAATTAAGTTTAAAATTAGGTTTAAAAATGAAGTCCAGTTCTTTTATGTGTCCTTAACCGAAAACATTATAGTTTATAATATGGATTACATTTAGCAAAAAGGAACCAGGAACATTGCCATGTTGCTAAGATTATGCAACTTCACCCGTAGCAATAAAACGACTGTAATCATACAAAAATATGAAATTTCCATGGTAATTTTGTCTTAAATTTACAGTTATTAGCGTATAAAATGGAGAATGTCGATTGATGAACAGATTTTCTTTTCAAGACAAAAGAAGTTGTACAATCTCAGCAACATTGCAATGCTCTTGGTTCCTTTTTGCAAAATGCAATCCATATCTCAGTTGTTCAAAAGTGCTTACTCCCCCCCTCCCCTTCATCCGTGCTAATTTTGCTATCGCTAAGTCCAGTCGGGAAAGGCCTCTGAATTTTGGTCTGGTCCATTACCCCATTATCAGACCACAAGGCTCGATTCGTCAACAGCAACGAGCTGCCGAAAAAAGCTCGAGTTTTGGCACCCTGCCCGCCGGACTTTTTAACCCCAACCGGAGGCAGGAATTAGGCGAGGAGATTACTGCCGCCTTGAACAAAAACGGCGTATAAGCATTCTATTGTTGCCAAATTTCTTTGAAAAACGATGACCTCTTTGAAAAGCTCGTAAGTGTATTTCTTCAATTTTTTTTGTAAGTCTTGAGCGGAATTTAATCGGGTGAATAAGAAAAATCATAGAAATAAATCTGATTGGATTTTTGAAAAATAAAATATTTTATATTTTAGCCGAGGAGATTACTGCCGTCTTGAAGAAAAACGGTGTAAAGCATTATAATGTTGTCAAATTTCTTTTATTTCCGGGCTACCATCATCAGCTGATGATGGTGGCCCGGATAGCTACAGAAACGCGTCCGAAAAATATCCAATTAGTGAGAGTGTGAGTTATTCAAAAAAATTTAAAAGTTTTAAGCGTAATTAAAGTTCGCCGGCGCTTTTACCACCTTTAGAGATAAATCATTCTAATCGCTTACGGCCCAATGCTTCACAGGCACTGAGCTTTTTTTCAGTAGGATAGTGCTCTGGACAATTATTTCAGTTTTCACCTAAGTTCACGCAAGTCATTTTGGCAGACTTTTCGACCCTTCTCTAAAATCCCCTTGTGAAGCATTTGTAAGACAACATCGTATTTCCCTCTTTTTACTCAAATAAGACCGGTCGAACCCCCTTCCTCCCACATGCTTTGGAAAATAACGCAGACAGCCTAAAATTATATATGTATAGAACAAGTCATTTCACAGTGATTTTTGTTTCTTGAAAGTGGGAGACAAAAGAAAGACTTGGATTTTAACCCTTCCTTTCCCTCCTCTCCCTTCCTCCCCCNCAAGTGATTAGCTGGACATTTAACGATTATAGGACGAACCTCCCTCCCTCCTTCCCTCCCTCCCTCCTGTCCACCTTCCCTCCTTCCCTCCCTCCTTCCCTCCCTCCCTCCTTCCCTCCCTCCCTCCTTCCTTCCCTCTCCCCTCCTTCTCTCCCTCCCCTAGTAAGACTCTGTACGACTAGTTTAGATCCTCTCGCCACCCTTGAACGGCGCACGTAATACCTGAACGACCCCCAAGACACACTGCTTGAGATTCCATCACATATGAAATCCGGCATCACTGAAATGCCCGTGGGGTGTTGTTACTTGGAACGGGAGATTAAGAGGCTAAAACAGGGGCATTAAGGATAACTTACAGTAAATTAGTGTAGACAAGCGAGCTGTTAGCGTTGATGGAGGCGGCTGCTTGGTGACACAGGAACAGGAGCAGGAGGAGGGCCCCGGCGACTGGGACGGCGACCATGGTGCCTGAGTGGTTGCGGCTGCGGCTCGTCAGATTTATGTCCGCACTCCGCCGAGGCCGAGTCCCAAACCGAAAACGAGGCTCGGGCCGCGTCGCGTCGCGTCCATCATTCCGCCGCACGAGCGGGGCCCAGTCGAGCACGGGATGGCCCTGTAATCAGAGAAAGCCACAGTTTGGAAGTAGTACTCATGATACGCATGCATTTAGGAGAGAAAGCCGCATGCACTGCAAGAATTGAACAAGTGTACACGGAGAAAAAAACTTCGTGCGTGGGACCTGAAGTTTAGGTCATATGGATCTCTGAAGTTTTCGGATTGAGCATCTGAGCACTTGAGGTCTAGCGGCCGAAGTTCAGGTCAGACATCTGAAACTTCAGTTCTTACATCCGAAGTACTTCGGTTTTCACATCCGAAAAACTTCGGTTCTCACATCTGAAGTACTCCAGATGTAAGAACTGAAGTTTCAGACGTCTGACCTGAACTTCGGCAGTTAGACCTTAAGTGTTCAGATGCTCAATCCGAAAACTTCAGAGATCCATATGACCTAACTTCGGGTCCCACGCACGAAGTTTTTTTCTCCGTGTATACCTACAATGTAGAGTCAGAGGTAGAGAGAGGCCCTCCACTGACCTCTTGGCGACAGGTGCACTGAAAAAAAAATCTCGGTGTATTTACTAAGAAAAGGGTAAAATTACCAAGAATTCAGGGTTCTATTTGATCTGTTTTTTCTTGGTAAAATTACCATTTATGGAATTGAAATTTTACCGAGAAATCTCGGTAAAATTATTGAACTTTCTCGGTAATTTTACTGGACCTTGGTAAAAACGCCAATATCTTTTATCGACTGTGGTATAATTATTGAGATAAAATCGCAAAGTTATCGGGAATTGATTACCAATAAAAGTGGTATTCTTACCTGAAAAAAAACGGTAAAAATAACGGTTTTTAGGTAAGCTTACCAGTCTGTTTTGGTAAAATTACCAATAATTGGTAAAAAAGTGAGATGGTAAAGGTAGGTACCAACGGACCTTGGTAAAAACGCCGAGAATTTTTTTTAGTGTGGAAACTTTTACTTCTGGGAATTCAACTTCCTGATGGACGATTACAGGGCAGCAACAATCGTTATAACCGCCTATAGATGGATATTGAACTTTGGTCGGCGTGATAAGCCAAACCAGTTTATCAAACTTCGGAATGTTTGCAATACGAAATGCTCAGCACGTTGTTATACGGAAAAAAATGGATTACTTATTTGCCAATTTAATTGTTAAAAAAAGTGACAGACATGTTTCAAATGTACATTTTACAAAGAAGAAAATCTAATTCAACCACGGGCGTGGTTAAATTAGCATTCTTTTATTGTAAAATCTACATTGAAATATGGCTGTCACTTGCTTTGACTACGAAATTGCTTAATCAGCAATTTCATTATTTCCGTGTAGCCATCCAGCCATCCTCCTGGTAGGCAGATCAACAGTTTAATGTTGGAGTTTGCAGTGGCGTGGCGTGCTTTGCGATATATCGCTGTTCTGCCATTTGAACCTATGGTAAAGAATCGATTACCAAGGTGTTCGCTGCGAAGTGCGAACACCCTGATTATCGATCCTTTTCCATAGGTTTAAATGACATAACAATCGATATATCGCAAAGCACGCCACGCCATTGGGAGTTTGCCCCGAAAGTAAGAGCCTCCGCCATTGCCGAGCAAAGTTCTAGGGCTGCTGATGCGTTTTCGGGGTCCCTCCTCTCGGGAGAGGGGGGGGGGGCTAACTAACCTAAATTCCTCCATTAGATGGGTTTTTCTAGTTTTTGGGGGCCCCTATACAAGAGTCCTGTCGGAGCCCTTTGAGCCAACCGTCGGAATTTCTAGAGTGTTGAAGCACCCTAGCTGGAGGGTGTCTCTTTTGTCCCTGAAATATATAGTTGCCAGCACCAGATTTCTGACAGTGCTCATTGCGCGGTTGGGAAACAGGAAGAACAGTGTTGTCATCTGGCGAGAAATACCACTGCCTCATTTCTATCACATGTATGAGCTCTCAAATCAAGCGCATTCGCCTTCATATAACAGAATAGGCAAAATTATGTTCTCATGAGGCTGAATAGGGAATCCAGCTATTTTGCTTTGGCTGGACGGTTTGTATCTATGCGTTTCAATTAATTTTGTTATTCAGATTGCTGCTCGAAGGACACCGTTTTTGCCTACCCAGCCAAATAAAGGCAAATCCATTTTCACCGTGTACCGAATGAATTCGAGTTTTCTCGATGGTTAGTAAAGCTTTCATATAGAGAGGAAAAAAATATTTCATGCGAGTACCGAAACTTTCTCATAGGTTGGCGTTAATCAGTGGCGAAAGTTTATAAGGCGTTACGAATCTCTAAGAGTCGGACATTGGCACGTTAAGGTCACGCAACACGCGAACATCTCAACAGCTGAGGAAAAACGCCGCATAGACAATTCGACGATGTCAAGTTTCAATATACTCATCTGTTAAAATTTTTAATTAGTCTCTTTAAAATAATCAGAGATTTTCATTTGCAATTTTTTTTTTTGTTTCCTGAGAATTGTAGGGGAAAAGCTTCAGAATTTTTATCAAAATAATTATTTCATTATTTGAATGGAATGGAGAATTTGCATGCAAATGTTTTATTGCTTCATCTGAAAGTGCTCAAAGAGCTGATTTCACAGTATTTTTTATAATTTTTTTGTAATATGGGAAATAGTATAAGAATAGATTTTAAAGTGAGAAAATGCACCACCTAGTGACGTCATCTGGCGGTATTTCCCATTTGAACACACGTATTTTGTCATATCTTCTCCAATAATTGTTCAATTCAAGAACCAAGGGTACCCTCGTATTCGGTTCACTGAGTAGTTTCCACTTAAACTAGCAATTCATCAAATTTCGGGCACCTGCAAATTCTCTATTACGAAGATTTTCGTGGGCTCAGTAGGAGAGTTATTTATACTAGCACATGGAGGTATCAATCTCCTCCATACCGCAGGGCTCACTTGAAATTGGCAAAAACTAAGTATATGCTGGGCACGAAAATTTGGCGGACAACTCCTACATTTACTAATGCTAACATATACCAAAGTCTTTTCAACCACAGGACACTCCAACATATTTCCAACAAAGTCAAAGATACACTGAAAGAAATAAGTCTTTGGCTCAAAATGTTTGAATTTGCTCCCAATAATTTTCCTCATCTTGATTCAAGCTAAATCTCTCTCCAGGAACAAGAAAGAAATGCTTGGGATAAGCAAAAAGAGTAGCTAACATCAAGCAGCATCATTTTTGATTCACGAAAAAATATTCCTTGGTAGCAAATATATGATTTTTTTTGTTTTGTTCTTTTGAAAGAAGAAAATATGCAAGCTCCAGTTATATTGTTTGCCTAACGCATAGATTGTTTCCAAGGGCTAGTTCTGCCTTTATTGATTATAGTATTTTTGCAAGGAGATTTGAATTTACTGTTTATAAAGTATTCATACACAGGCTCGGACTGGCCATAGGGCCAATCTGCCATTGGCAGATACGCCCCCTTTCTGCAGCGAAAACGCGCCCCTCTTACAGATAGCAAAATAAGAAGAAAAAAAATTACTACCTAGAATATGTGAGAAAAATTTCTTAAATGAACGGAAGAGGAGAGAGTTAGGAGTAAAGAAAGGTGCTTTAACGCATGATAGTGGCGAACAGAGGTCCAAGAACTACTTTCTGAAGCGTAAACAATTTTCTGTGAAATTTTTACCTTCTTCTTGACATACAGGTGCTTTATCATCCCCCTTCCTTCATTCGCTATGTGTAACTCCCTTAGAAGCGATGGTCGGTTCGATTTTTAGACATACACATCCTTTATAGACCTCTTAAGAGACCTTTAAACATATTTCCTCCTTTTCAAAAGACTGTTGATTTGGACATACCATAGCATAACTCGGGCAAACTTAACCTTAATTTATCTCGAAATTCAAAAGTAAGAGACATCTAAAATGTAAACGCGATACAACTATTCGCGCAAGATGGATGTCCACATTGCATATGAAAAATGTAAGATGCGATGCCGTGAGTCGTGAACTCGCAATACTCTGCTCCAGTTTGAAGCAACATTACAAATAAGACAAACGCAAACAAACACAATATGGTAATAAAGCGAGGGAAAGAATGCGCGTTAACGACGGCGCAGAGATACAACTATTCGTACTTAATGGACGTCCGTGCTGCATCTGAAAAATTGAAGGCGCGATGACGCGAACCGTGAGCTCTCAATGCTCTGCTCTATACTGTCAATGAAGCGTCGCTCTGATTCGGAAGAAAAGTTAAAAAAAGGCCTGAAGACATCTCTTCTACCTTCGGCTGTGTTACTCACGTAGTGCTTGAAGCACCATTACGATTAAGACAAACGGAAACAAACACAATATCGAAAAAGAGGGAGGGAAAGGATGCGTGTTTACGACGGCGCAGAGATACAACTATTCGTACTTGATGGACGTCCGTGCTGTATCTGAAAAATTGAAGGCGCGATGACGCGAACCGTGAGCTCTCAATGCACTGCTTTACTTTCAATTTTGCAATTTTTACTCCGTGCGATCAATAAACTTTGAACCTGAAAATAGCGTAAACTTGTGCTGATTTGCCAAAATTTTCTGAATCCCTCTCCACGTAGGGAATGCCCTACCAGGAAATATCACATTACGCACCTTTAACCAGCTAAGGGTCTCCGCCCTCAGACGCGAGCCAGTCCGACCCTGTTCATACACTTCAAACGCGTATTCCTCCTTTATGTCTCAGTTATGTTATGTTTATATTTTAGATGCGTTCAATAATGTTTTCCGCGGGAAATTTTGATGCGGTTGTACTGTCAGGCTTAATTTCTCACCCTATCTAGTAATTCCCTCTTGATTTTTACGTCCAATATTCGAAAACTGATCTATTGTGCAAGTTTGTTTCTCTTTGCAACGAATTATTTGTATTGGCTCGAAATTTTCTTNGGGGGGGGGGGATTTCTTGCGATGAATAAAAGTTAATTATATTTCATTAAGTGAGCTCTCACTGTGTACTTTATTTTAGTGGCCGGTGGTACGATGTCAATGGTTTCCCTCTAGCACGAGTGATTTCGAAACAGTATACGGGCCCATTCAAGATGAGTGTGCATTGTCGGTAAACGATTCGCCATCATGGTCTCGCAGGGAGCCTCCTGAGATAAGTAGCTCATCCGTTGAGTAGACGAAAGGCATCAAGAGTTCCAGTGAATATTAGAATTTTCAAAATTCCAAGGAATCCGCCGCAAGCGAATTCCATTCGATAATTGAACATCATTGTTTCGTTTCTTGTCTTTTTGTACGTTTGCAACGGTGTATAAACTTAAAGCTAGAATCATCATGGTATAAAGTCAGGAATTTTAATTGCATGTAAAATATTTTTTTTGTATGTAAAATATTTTTTTTGTATGCAAATATCTGTTACAGGCAACTGGCAATCTCCGGCAATTTGCAAGCCACGAGTACATAAATAAAAAAGCGTAAAATTCAGAAATGAAATAAAAAGATTAGATCACTTATTGCTGCCGTTATTGTGAATGGACACTTCTTCCTCCCTAAAACATGTAATAAAAGGCACATTGAAGAGTGAATGCGGTGAAATCTGTAAACTCAGTTGGGTTTGGATTGGACAGGCAACTAAACTAACTCCATGACAAAGCCTATAGTATCATGAAATAATGAAGGCGCTCCTAGCCAAGCAGACGTGCTTTAGAGGGCACATATTACTCATACTAATGCTCATTATTACGATTTATCGATACAACAGGTAAGCCGCTTTTAAATGATTGCCTCAGACATATCTACTTGAGAATGATCCCTCCCTGAAAAAAATTACCGCTATGAAAGTTTTGTGATAACTACATACCTTTAAAAAAACTTTTGGTCTTCTATTGCTCCCCTTCAGAGTGTAGCGTACTTAATTCTTGCAACTATTCCAATAATAACGAATCCAATCCGAAGTTTCTTCACTTTTGAACAAGTTTTCCTGAAAAACGTTGATACTTGAAACAATAAATTGTGAAAAGGCTCTGCAAGTCTTTTCTTTTACAATTAGTGATAAAAAATCATAAAATCACACACCGATCGACCAAAATTTCCCCTTGGGAGCCAGAGCAAAAATTATTAATCGTCAAACAATCGCGTTGAACCATCCACAAGAACCACTCCGTAAAATCCAAAGCAGTTTCTAGTATATCAACGCTTCTAACGATTCCCGTCAAAAATTTAATTTTGAATCAAACAACATCCAAATTTTCCGATTTCTTGAAAAACTGAAAAATCAATCACTCAATTCGCTTCCAAAACCACTTTTGAACGCACTGCACGATGTGAAACGACGGTTCCCGGTACGTTGAGTAACACTCATATAGTTTCACCGTACAACACTTAGATTTTAATGAAATAACCAGGTTTTATACCCGACATAAAACACAATCCGATTGGAAACACGTCAAATAGTTGTTTCACAAACTCTCCGCACGTGGAATCCGGTAACGTAAAATGGGACGGTGAGCGCTTGGACGCAAAAGCGTGAGGGTAGATTGCCGCACGCACGCGGAGCGGAGGGGTAGATCGCGGGACGCACCTTGACGCGAGAGGGTGAGCGACGCTACTGGTCGTGCCTCGCTCAGTCGCTCCTCGGCCAGACAAGAGGAGCTTTCAGATGCTGGAGGCTGGGGTCTCGCCGTGCCGGACCGGGGCCGCTCGCCTCGACTTCTCGCCCTCCGATTGGTCACGCCCGCCGTTGCCACAGTGACGCCGCGCCGCGCCGCGCCGCGTCGCGTCGCACCCGAAGAACTGCACCGCCGTGCTGAGGAAAAACACCGTATGAGCCTTCAGGCATTGCCGAATGGGCCTGTTGCAAACTTTTGCTAGAGCAAAAATAAGAGTTGTTTCTTATAGATAATGCCTCAAAAATCACGATGAGCGCATCGGCAAAGTCTGAAATGCACTCATAACTTCACAATCTGCGTAAGAAATTTGCGTTTTTTAAAGCTTCCCGCTTCAAAAACGATACTACGGCACAGGTGAACATTTTGTTAGAGGAGTCGCTCCATCGTCGGCGATATTCATCATGGCCGACGCTTGCGCGCAGTTCCGCGCGTAATTCGAGGAGAGTTCAAGGTCAATCAATTCGGGCGTGGAAAACATGAACGTTAAAACACGCCGATTGTTGTCTGGTCTAATCCAGTTCAGGTATTATCTCGTCCCATCACACGTGTTTTGGCGGATTGGCGTCGGCCATGATGAGTATTGCCGACGATGGAACGACTCCTCTTATAAAATGTTCACCCGTGCCGTAGTATCGCTTTTGAAGCGGGAAGCTCAAAAAACCGCAAATTTCTTACGCAGACTGTGAAGTTATGAGTGCATTTCAGACTTTGCCGATGCGCTCATCGTGATTTTTGAGGCATTATCTATATGTATAAGAAACGGCTCGTATTTTTGCTCTAGCAAAAGTTTGCAACAGGCCCATTTTACTAGAGTCCCTTTATACCCAGAGTTAAGACAACTCACTTTTGGTTGGGCTGAAAGTGGCCTAAAAAAAAAATCCAATCCTGATTGGTTCTCGTTCATGGAGTCACAAACGAGTGCACCAAAATGGCGGTGACTCGAATGTGAACAAAAATAATGAAAATATTACCTTATTGTGGTTTATCGAGAGTGAATTGTTATTTCCATCGGTCCAAAATGAAAATAGATTACGAAATTATTCCCAATCTGATCTCATTTTCTTTTTAATAATTGATCAATTTGTAGATGTTGTTGTTTTTGTGTGACAGACATCGCAGGATTCCTGATCCTTATCCCTCAATATTGCTCGTTTGGGTGCACTCGTTTGTGCCTCCATGGCCAGCCAAGGCCGGCTACCAGTCAGCTGATAATCGAGTTGTCTTAACTCTGGGTATAAAGGGACTCTAACCCGAAGAACTGCACTGCCGTGCTGAGGAAAAACACCGTATGAGCCTTAAGGCATTGCCGAATTTTAACTTCAGTTTCGTTGTAATTCAGTTCGTTTTTGGCTTTTAATCACCTGATGATGGCTGTGAAAGCCGAAATGGCCATAGTGTTACCTAGTTTAAGGTTTGACAACCGAAATCTCAAAATCGGGCGAAAAAGAAAAAGTGAGTATTATCTGATACCCGATAAAGGAGGAATAAGAAACATTGCCAAATTTCCTTTGAAAATTCAAGAATTTTTTTGGAAATATTTCAATGTATTATTTCCCCGATTTTTTTTTTAGAGAATTTGGTTCGTACTTTGATCTAAATAATCCGAAATTTTCAAGGAAAAACGTTCATTATTATCTTCAAAAATAAATATCCTCTGAGAGGATTCCATTATTCATTTATTATTTTTTATTTTTTTATTTTTATTTTTTGGTGCTGCGTCACAGAGGATGGTATCTAATATGCTCACTTAGGCCATTCTATCCTCCAAACTGGCCCGGAGACGTCGCGCGGCGCAGCCCTGCGCCGCACAATGGATCAAGTCAATAGGAGAGGTTGGACAAAATTTGGAAATTTTAAAAGCTTATAACTCCATTTAAACCCAATTGTGAGGCTCTAAAAGTGGTTATATTGATTTTTTCGTTGATTATTATTCCAAAGGCACCCCTTGATATCTAAAGTGTGACGAAATAAACATCAAAATTTGCAATTTCAGCCAAAAATTTCATGTCCAACCTCTCTAATTGACTCGATCCTCTGTGCGCCGATTGCCGTTAGATTGCGTGGACTGTATCGAAGTTCGCCCGCCTGGGGGAAAACCCGGCTTCACGTTGCGGTTTTTCAGAGACAGCTATAAATAATTATTTGGAAAACCATCTCAACTTATGGAATAAGAAAAAAACAATTGCGTTTATGAGAATTCATTGATGGTTGTTTTTCTTAGTCTACTTTCACATTGGTATGGATTCGATCGACATGAATGGATCGAAAAATGAAAACGTAAATCGATCGACAAATTATTAAAAAACCGGTGTCGATTCGATCGACATGAATGGATCGAAAAGTGACAACGTGAATCGATCGACATGAATCGATCGACATGAATCGATCGACATGAATCGATCGACACTGATTCGATCGACAAATTATTGAAAAACTGATGTCGATTCCATCGACATGAACGGATCGAAAAATGAAAACGTGAGTCCATCAACGTGAATCAATCGACACCGATTCCATCGACAAATTTCGATCGATTCACGGTCTTGTCGATCGACTCACGGGTTATTTTGATCCATTTACGGGTTTGCCGATCGATTTACGACTTTCGTTGATCGATTCACGGGTTTGTCGATCGATTTACGACTTTCATCGGTCGATTCACGGATTTTTCGATCGATTCACGCGCTTGTCGATCGATTCACGGGTTTGTCGATCGATTTACGGCTTTCGTCGATCGATTCACGGATTTTTCGATCCATTCACGGCTTTTGTCGATCGATTCATGGGTTTGTTGATCGATTCACGGTTGTCGATCGATTCACGTCAATCGATTCACGTTTTCATTTTTCGATCGATTCACGTCGATCGAATCGACATAGGTTTTTTAATAATTTGTCGATCGAATCAGTGTCGATCGATTCATGTCGATCGAATCCATACCCTTCCTTTTGGAGGTGTAGGTATTAAGAACAAGGACTCTTTGGTCTCTCCGCGGCCTCGATGCGCTACCTGCACCTCGAACATCAAAGAATAAATAAACTCATCGTTAATTAAATTCAAGCATATATTTCCAACAATTGTAAGATTCCTCTATATAGTTTTCTTGCACGTGAATAGAAATACTTGTTTTTCCTCAGTGGGGAGAGCGTGATTGAATCGATGACCATCCTTACTAGATAGCCTTCCTGGTGCTGTAGAAAATTTCTCCACGTGAAGAACAAATTCAGGCTTTGAACGAATACGCCCAAAGCCCTATTCCGCATTTTCCTCTCTTGATGTAAATATGACCCTGTCGGAAGAAATTCAATCAATGTTTGTGTCTCATCAAATGCACGCCACAAAGGGATTCATCTGCCGGGATAGCGAAGAGAGCCGAAAATCTCAAATGCTCGAAATCGAGATTCCTACAAAATTCTTCCAATCTCTTACACAGGGTGTACCAAAAGTCCGCCCCACCCCCGCTAACTTTTGAACGAATTGAGCTAGGGTAATGAAACTTTGGGGATGTTCCTATCTCAAAGGAGACCATCTTTTGGGGGGGTCAAAATTTTGGTCCCCCCTCAGGGGGGGGCGCGGGGGGCCCCCAACTTTTTTTTTTCAAATGGCAACCCCTATCTTGTGATACCTCATTCGAAAGAGCATAAGAAACTAAGAATTTTGGCGCAAACCGCAGATCAATATCTTAATTTTTGACCGAGTTATGATAGGTCAAAGGTCACATTTGACCTATTTTCAAAAAATCATAACTCCGGTTCAAATTATCGTAAGGAAAAAAATAAAACGGGAAAATTTACCAAATTGTGTCCGCTTTTAAGTAAAAATTGCAGAAATCACTTCGATTTAATTTTAAGGGGGGGCTCGGACCCCCAAATACGTCAATTCAAAGGTCATTCAATTTTCCCGCGAAATAAGCCAATTTCCCCTAGATTTGCCTCCACATTATCTCAGTAAGGTCAAAATCAGTTCAACATTACGTTGGCAAGTCCCCAAATTTCGGGAAAAGTTAAAAAAAAACGAAATTTAAACGGTCAAATTTAATCACCTTAAATTTCGTTTTTTTTTTAACTTTTCCCGAAATTTGGGGACTTGCCAACGTAATGTTGAACTGATTTTGACCTTACTGAGATAATGTGGAGGCAAATCTAGGGGAAATTGGCTTATTTCGCGGGAAAATTGAATGACCTTTGAATTGACGTATTTGGGGGTCCGAGCCCCCCCTTAAAATTAAATCGAAGTGATTTCTGCAATTTTTACTTAAAAGCGGACACAATTTGGTAAATTTTCCCGTTTTATTTTTTTCCTTACGATAATTTGAACCGGAGTTATGATTTTTTGAAAATAGGTCAAATGTGACCTTTGACCTATCATAACTCGGTCAAAAATTAAGATATTGATCTGCGGTTTGCGCCAAAATTCTTAGTTTCTTATGCCCTTTCGAATGAGGTATCACAAGATAGGGGTTGCCATTTGAAAAAAAAAAGTTGGGGGCCCCCCGCGCCCCCCCCCTGAGGGGGGACCAAAATTTTGACCCCCCCCAAAAGATGGTCTCCTTTGAGATAGGAACATCCCCAAAGTTTCATTACCCTAGCTCAATTCGTTCAAAAGTTAGCGGGGGTGGGACGGACTTTTGGTACACCCTGTATAGATGAAATCACCGAATCAGCTAAAACAGCACAATTTGTTTCGTTTGTATAAAAACGAGACGTATGAGAGAGTTGTTTGTTTGTGCAGAAAAATTGACGTTGTTTCGCTTCCAGGACTTTATGTCCACCTACCTTTCGTCCATTAAATAAATGTCCACCGCTATTTATGTCCACTAAGCATTAAGTCCAGTCTATATTAAGTCCACATGATTTAATGTCCAACCATGAATATGTCCAAAATTGTCCAAATTGTGGACATGTTGTGTCCATATTTTTTCTTCTCATTTAAATGACAAGAACCACCTCAAAAATAAATGCATACTACTACTACCTTCATTCTTAAAAACATTTCATTCATGAATCAAGTCATGATAGAGAACAGACTCTAAGAGCAGATAAAAACATATGTTCATGTGTACATTGTACGGATATGATAAGATGAAAACCGAAGCGGGAGCCTAGGAAACGCTCCAATGCCAAATTAAACATTTTTCAGTAACAGATGCAGTCAAAATTGAAAGTTCTCTTTGACTAGTTATTTCGTGCGCCCTCAATCTTGTAGGATACTGTGCAACGCCTCTGGCGCGAAATAGTTGCTTAAAGCGTTACGGCGCGGCAGGCAGCCAGCGTGACACGCGCATAGGCGCCTACAAACCTAACGGGATACTTCACGCGTTGCGCAATGCGTGAAGTATCCCGTTAGGTTTGTAGGCGCCAGTGCGCGTTCTGCGCCGCTTACACGCCGCTCCGCTCTGTGTTAGGCTCTAATATTTAAACTCGCGGAGTATTAATCGATCATTTATGCCTTGCCACTGAGACAGGTCCTCTCAGGAACTACATTGATTAGACATCACAAGATAACTGAAATACAATGCGCACTGACAAAGGATATCTTTTTCGCCTTTGCAGCCATTTGATTTGGTTTTTTTATAAAGAATGAATGTAGCGTAATGCCTCGAATTAGATATTCTCGCTAAAAGAAGTTTGGCTACACATCGACTTAAATTCTTACCCTTTCTGTCCCCCACTTTGTACCCCAGCTGTTCCGTATGAGCCAGGAATCTAAAATGCAGAAAAATAACATACAAAGTGAAGACGTCAAAAAAATGAGTAAATGCATGGAAATTTGCATTACCTACTATCATTAAAGCAAAGAAGATTATGCCCAATGGGGGAGGGGGGGACTCCTGAGGATTCTAGAATTTAAACATTTTTAAACCGGTAAAAGGAGGAGGTTTCAACATCCCAAAAGATCTATTAGTGCTGGGCTAGGATGGGGAAGATAAACAAATAAATGAAGTGAGGCAACCAAACTTTTTGTTATAGTTTCTTGTACTAATTATTATTCGGTTATATATACAAATATCGACGGTGAAACTACCAAACCACGTATCTCGGTTTGCGACGTCGCAGACTTCCTGTCATACTTTATTTTTTAAATGAAAAACTACTTAACGTCCAGTCTTGAAAATTTCTGTGATTTTTCCTCTTCGTGCGGAGAAAATTCCGTGAAAATTTCAAGGAATGATATAGATTTGGTCTACTTCAAAAAAATAAAATGCGAGCGTAGATTTTTAAACACCGCAACGAGATACGTGGTTTGTTAGTTTCACCGTCGATATGTAAAACTGTCGTGCTGGGTCATTCTACCGCGACCACGCGGGTTTTCCGCTGGTAAATTCGGCAAAATCGCGTTTTAATTTGCAGAACAGCGGTAAAAATCACGAGTTTTTCGTAAAACCGCGGCAATTTATACGTACGGAGCCATACAAAAGTATTTTTTCGTAATTTCTGAGGGGAAAGGAGTTTTTAAAATGGGAGGGTCAACTTGAAAAATGAGAAGGCAATGATCTTTCTGTATCCCTGCGCCTCAATACAGTCGAGAGGAATACAGATAAATTATAGGATCTTGAAAAAGGGTGCCCAAATTTCCGTAAAAGTGGAATGGATAAGTTGTTTTCCCCATAAAATAAGCGTGATAAGAAGACACGATGGCAACCAATGAGAATGGTTGGGTCATCAGGCGCACAGGAGTCTGTAACAAATCAGTCGGAGTAAAATGGATATTTTTCTTAGACACTGCCTTTTAGTAGGAACATTAGACTTTTCAGTTTTCATTTTCGGCCTTAAGGTGATTCGACGGATGCCGTTTTTTGTGTCAGAGCGACGTGCGATATATATCGCATCAATTCGTTCATAATATCAGCTACTTGTCATTTTTTTAGAATTTTGAGATCACACTTCTCTTGTCACGAAACTAAAGAATTCATGTACCAAATTTGACAGAGAAATTCAACGTATTAATAACAAGGTTTTTTCAGAGGAAAAATATCGCATTTGAGTGCAGTTCAGTATCGAATGCGATATTTTTCCTCTAAAAAAACCCTGCCTTTAATACGTGGACTTTCTTCGTCAAATTTGGTACATGAATTATTTGATCTCATGACAACAGAAGTGCGATCTTAAAATTCGAAAAAAATGACAAGTAGCTGATATTGTGGAACGAAATGCGATACATCGCACGTCGCTCTGACACAAAAAATGGCAACCGTCGAATCACCTTAAAGCGGTGGCGGCCAAAATGTCAAATGACGACATATCGATGGTGAAACTACCGGACCACGTATCTCGGTTTGCGACGTTGCAAACTTCCTGTCATACTTAATTTTTTGAAGGAAAAAATACTCGACGTCAATTCTTTAGAACCTCCATGATGTTTCCTCTTTACGCGATGAAAACTCGGTAATAACTTCAATGAATGACATTGGTTTGTTCTCCTTCGAAAAAATAAAATGGAAGCGGAGATTTTTAGACACCGCAAACGAGATACGGGGTCTGGTATAGTTTCACCGTCGATATTCTATAGTATAATGCCGGAAGTTCAGATAGTACATCCCACGGTTTCGGCCCATTTGGATGTTTTTATCAGTAATGGTTCAGTTACACGATCAAATTGAGCCGTCAAATTGAAGCTCTGATTGGTGTAAAAAGATCTGAGGTGAGGATGTGACCAATGAGAGGCCCAATTTGATGGCTCAATTTGATCGTGTAGCTGGACCATGATGAATACACATTCGCACTTGATCCCCGACTTAATACTCGGATGAAACCACACGCCACGGGCCACCGCGGTAGATGACGTCATGCGTCGTGCTTTTTGTCAGGCGGTATCCCCGATAATATTGGAGGGGATAGCTTGGTACTAGGGAAGATCTTATCATTTTTTTGCTGAAATCTAAAATCATCGAAACAGTAAGACCTGCCACCGTGTAACTGTTTATTGGGAAAATAGCAAAAAATAGAAAAAAAGACGAATTTTTTAAAACTTCAAAACGTTGGCAAAAAAAGCAGCGCTGTGCCTCACTTGTGCTCGACCGGGCCTCTAAACTACGAATTTCAAGTTCCAGCACTTGTAAAAGTTTTCTGACAGATTGAATCTTGAGAGAAACGAAAAAATGTCCAATTATAGCGAAATCTGCAATAAGGGTAAAATAACTAAAACATCATGCTCTAGCTCGAAAATGTCTAATGCCCGATGATTATAGTAACAGTGTAGATGATTATGGTAACAGTGTATTTAATAAAAATATCAAATGATAACTTCATGAGCCACAAGGTGAGCACTATCGCGTAGAGTGAATTGAACTTCCCGTAAATAAAAAAACAAGACGACGGTTCCAACGTTAAGACGTTGGAGAGCGTTCACCGTAACACCTCGTCAATTTATTCGTTTTTTTTTATTAAAAAATGAATGTTAGCGCTCATAAGACTGTGGGAATACTTAATGCAGTGCGTCAAACACCGTCCCGTCGGCGATTGGCGACGGGAAAAAGAAAATATTACACTTCAAATTCACAAATTCTCTTATAATCACCAACAACGCATTGTAATTCAAATTTACAGTAGTTCGATCTAGCG